GTTGCCCCTCTTTGACAGAACTCGGAGTCTTGAAATGACGTGAGTGAATGTCAAAGCCTAGAGACGACCCATTTTGACAAGGCCGTAAGACTTGGACAAACAATCATGACAGAAAACAAAATGGTTATGCTCGCAAGCTGCCTGTGTATCCCTTTGCAAGAGATCAAACCAGCGTGGTTTTGGGGCAGAATACAAACGATATGCATGATGCAAGAACATAACTCATGATTATGTAATGAGGTTGTACAATGAAACATTAAATGCAAATGCTATGCAAAAAAATGCCACAGTTAAACAAACTGAAACAAGGTACATCAATTCCAAACATGAAAAGAAGTAAATAAATAAACACGCCACATGTGGAAATAACGATCCAAACCAAATTTCATGCAGAAAGGATGTAAGAAAATTATGCAGGCTTAACTACACATCACACAGGAAAGGCGAAGGGCGACATAACCATCGGGTACACCCAAGGTCTCAATCGAGATCCTAATGCGTTGCACGCAGAAGCAGAAAAAGGATGGCGTGAACACCGAGATGCACCCGAATGTTTTTAACCAAAGTAAGTAATCCTAACGCGCCTCACGCGATAGGAGAAAAGGTGGTGTGAACACCAGGACGTACCCGAATGTTTTTAACCGAAGGGATCAATCCTAACGCGTCTCACGCAAGAGGAAGAAGGGGTGGTGTGAACACCAGGACGCACCCGAATGTTTTTAACTAAAGCGATCAATCATAACGCATCTCACGCGAGAGGAGGAAAGGGTGGTGTGAACACCGGGACACACTCGAATGTTTTTTACTAGAACAATCCTAACGTGTCTCACGCAAGCAGAGGAAAGCGTAGTGTGAACACCGGGACGCACCCGAATGTTTTTAACCGAAACAATCCTAACGTGTCTCATGCGAGAGGAGGAAGGGGTGGTGTGAACACTGAGATGCACCCGAATGTTTTTAACCAAAACAATCTTAACGCGTCTCACGCGAGAAGAGGAAGGCATGGGGTGAACAGCAGAACGCACCAGAATGTTTTTAATCGAAACAATCCTAACGCGTGTCATGCGAGAGAAGGAAGTGGTGGTGTGAACACCGGAACGCACCAGAATGTTTTTAACCGCAACAATCCTAACATGTCTCACGCAAAAGGAGGAAGGGGTGGTGTGAACACCAGGACGCACCCGAATGTTTTTAACTGAAACAATCCTAATGCGTCTCATGCGAGAGGAGGAAAGGTGGAAAGATATGATCCAAAGGGCATGAGTGATTTTTCCTGGTGCTCCTCTGAATGAACTATACATACAATATCGTGCATGTGAAGGAAAAAGACTTAACAAATGCGACATAGTAGGAATGCGTGTTCTATGCAATACATACAACCGAGATACAATGTTAATGGCATGTTCTATGCGAGAAACAAAAGCATAAGCATATTCTATGCATGATTGGTAACGGGAGCATATTCTATGCATAAAAGCGGATGCACGTTCCATGTAACAGCGAATAAGAAATGTGTGTTCTATGCAAGATATCAAAACATGATTTGACGAGAACAAATTCAAAGACAACTTCCAATTTACCTCTCAAAAGAATTACAATATGTTTAAAGGATACACCTCGTTCATGTTGGCAAGCGATGAACATCGCGCCCTGAAAACACAGTTTCGAGCTTCCGCAGAGGCGTTCTGAGCTCAACAGTAAACAATCCCTTCAATTTTTGGAAACCAAGGACACAAAATAGAATCAAGCATCCTAGGAGAGCTGCCGGCCACCTGCCGTCGATGAGGAAAGGTCGCTGGCTAGGTGCCGGCCACTGGTAGACCTTGCCGGCCATCAATAAGATGGCAGATTGAGGGCAAATTGGGCAATTCAACTCGAGCCTTTAAGTATGAGCCACTAGGGCTCATTTCCTCATTTTCCCTTGTCCGAAAATCATTTTCCTTTCCCTCTAGGCCCTTCTTCTCTCTAGATTTACGCTTTCTACGCGTTTTCCAACACCCTGCGCAAAGTTGATTCGCTAAATCGCCTTTGTTCTCTTCACTTTGAACCGATCGAAACTCGGTGCTTCCTTCCTCATTTCCATCATCCTAGGCTCATTCCCCTCGAGTTTCTCTCGAGTTTTGTGCACTTTTCTCGGCTTTGACTTTTTCCTCCATTTTCTCTCTCCTAGGGTTTGACTTTTTCCAAGTTTACCCTTTTTCTTCATTTTTCTTCACTTTTCACCCATCTCGCACCTATTTTCAGATGGTGGACGAGGTTCCTCATGACGGGGCTCCCTTGGAGGTTTCCCTAGTAGTACCACCTGTGCCGGAGGTAGAGAAGCCGATAACTGATCTTGAGGCTGACTTAGAGGCAGAGTTCGAGCCCAAGGCCGAGCCAGAGCCGGAGCCGCTACCACTGAGGGTACGACCTTTTGATCCAGTGAGATATCACCCACAGACACACATACTGCCTACTTCCAAAGGCATCAGACGCTTCACCGAGTTTGCCCGTGGTGCACCGGAGGACCTTTTGTTGAGGGAGCCAAAGTCTCACTTGTCGGCCATTGCCATCGAGGTAAGAACTCTTTTTTTTATTTTTTTTATTTTATGTATTTCTGCTTCATGTATTCCTACCTTTAGTTATTTGTAATGCTTACACTGCCTTATATTCGGATCCACCTGATTGTATTTCATACATTTCCTTTATCTAATGCATTTCATGCACTGCCCTTATCTGACCATGCACTGCTTTCATCTGATGCATTTCATGCACTGCCCTACAGGGCGAGTCTCGCGCCTTCAGAGGCTATGGTGCCACGACCGCTCGAGACTAATATAACGAGCTTCCAGTCAGAGTTCAAGACATCATCGACGAGGTAGGCTTCGGCTTATTTTGCTCCGGCTTGACTCGTGTCGTCGCGAGTCGTCCCTTCTTCGGAGCGCTAGTGGAGAGATGGTGGGATACCACCAACTCCTTCCATTTTTCCACCGCAGGGGAGATGACGATGACTTCTTACGACTTTACCATGATCACCGGCTTAGACGTAGGGGGCGATCCGATCCCTATTGACGCAGATATGGAGGAGTGAGAGGTAGCCTGGTTGGGGGCATACCCACACATATACCAAATGGGGATGGTGACATATACTTAGATCGCAGAACGATTCAGAGGGACTGAACCCGAGACAGTAGAGGATACCGAACAGTATGCCAGAGGCTTCCTGATGTTCGTCTTCAATACCACCTTATTTTCGAACAGGTGGAATACCGTTGGCCTGTATTTGCTGAGCGCCCTAGTGACCCTTCCTCGGGTTCATTTCTATGACTGGGGTGGAGCTGGCCTCACCACACTGTATGGATATATGAGCTCCACCTTCCATCTACGGGGAGACCTGATTGGAGGCTACTTGCGAGTCTGGGAGGTACACATCTCAGTTCCTTCTTTGTACTTTATGTTCACTTTACAGTTTCTGTTTTACATCTATTTTAATACATGCTTTCTGTTTCGCATTTATGTATCTGCTCAAACATTGTTCATACACTGTGCTTTCTGTTTTGTACTTTCTGCATCTGCTTGAACACTGTTCTGATCACATACCACTGCATTTTCCCTGCAGCTATAGGTATACGCATACTTTCTGACTCTCGTCCCAGAGCCTGTAGTGGAGCTTCTGTTGATGGTACCCTATTCGCGGATATGCGACGATTAGTTTCGCCGTAGGACCCATGAGCCTTTCACTTTCTTCAGGAGGTACTTCGACACGGTAGCCACCCATGAGGTAATCTGAAACACAGTCATTTCATTTTTGCTTTGAAACTGTTCTGCTTCATACATTTAGCAACTGACAGTAACTAATAACCTGTACAACTCCTGTTCGCAGATCACGTGACAGCTATGGGCCTTGATGCCAGGAGGGTGCGGGGTCAGTCCGCCGACGCCTGGGCCGTCTCCCACTATCACATTCTGCTTAAGTGTCCGGTTTGCTGGGCTTGGTTCTTGGGTGAGCACTTCTTGTACCAGATTATGGGTGTGCTGGACTTGGTCATCCCGATGGCTCCACCAGAGTCCATGCGGTCCACAAAGAGCCTATCAGTTAAGGAGGTCATCCAGTTCATGGTGGGCCTAGATGTCGACTTCTTTCAAGCAGAGGGCGACTACACAGATTTCATCCTGACACACTTGATGCCACCCCTGACGGCTATTCGTGGAGACGAGGAGGTGGGGGCTCCTGCCGCTAGAGCAAGGCGCAAAGTGACCCGGGCGAGCAGGGCTCGTGGCAGAAGGGCTTCCCGAGTGGGGAGGAGGGCTGATTGGCTAGAGCTCCCCACTACGCTGACTTGCTAGCGACACACAAGGAAGGCCTACCAAATCCTGATTGAGCTCGCAGCGGCTGGTCATGAGCTTGTTGGGGTCCGAGGCTCGACTTCGGTATGAACCACACTTTGGCGCTTGCACTCTATCTTTTTTTTGCCATTAGTTTCTAATTTTTTATAGGAAAGTGAGTGACTACCGACCATTGTACAAATGAATGTGATTTTTTTTTTTTTTTTGGAGTTTTCCCTGATTATGGTTAAGGAATTTTGTTTTCTATTATTATTTTTAAGGAAAACTCGTTAGATGTATTCATTCATTCATATCATATCTGGTAGGTAGGGTAGCAGAATGGATGAATATGCTTTCCCTTGATGTCTTGGGAAAGAGAACGGAAAAGAGGCACAAATGTGATGCCACCTTATTTATGTGAACTGCAAATTTATATTTTTTTTTTTGGTACACGTTAATCTTTTGTGTGTGATTACTTAGATTAGGGGCCTTGATCATCAGTGTTGATTGAATGTCTGCTCAAGCTGCTCATCTATAACCCAAAGTTTAATCTAAAGCTAAGAACATCAGAATCATTCATGTTTTAATTAATCTGTGGTATTATTCGTTAAAATAAACTTTACCAACTTTATTGAAAAATCATATATGAAAGTGAACTGAATCAATGGAGCTTTGATAGTTAACTATGCCTGTATTTGTTATGGCTATTAGCTTATTAATCATCGTGTACTGAAATTTGCAGGTACAGCAACAGGTACAGTTTTATTATGCCAGCTAGTTGTCTCAATACGATGTACATGTTTATAGGATTTAATTGATTTTTGCAAAAATACGGGTTTGCAATCCAGTGTTGCTGCCACTATCATGCTTCTCTGATAAATTTTCCAATTATGTTTCTTTATTAGGTGCCTTACATCACTACTGCTTTGATGGATGCGAAGCTTGGCACGGAAGGGCGCAAGGATCTTTTTGATTGGCTATCAAGGCAACTTAGTGGATTAAGAAATTTTCCTGATGCTGTAAATCTGAATTATGTATTGTTTCAATTTGTTATGCTAGATGGATGTGACTTGTGAATGAAAACTTAGAATAGTTGTATTGTGTCGAATGTTAATGATTCAGTTAATTTGAATGATGCTTTAAAATTATAGGTTTATTATGGATTGAATGTATTATTAGGAATTACAGGTGCATTGTTTTCCTGCTTTGGTGACCAATTTATTAGTCGTGACAAATAAATTATTTTTTTTCGCAAAAAATGACAATTGCCGACCAAGAGTTTTAGTCGCAAAAAATACATCTATTGTCGACCAAAACAGTTCTTGGTCGTGGAAACTCACTTTTGCCGACCAAAAGTTTTGGTCGCGAAAAGTAACAAATGGCGACCAAAACCTTTTTTGGTCGTGGAATGTCACAATTGACCAAACTTTTTCGTCGCGGAATGTCACGATTGGCGACCAAAATTTTTGGTCGCGGAATGTCACAATTGGGGACCAAACTTTTTGGTCGTTGAATGTGATAATTGGCGACCAAACTTTTTGGTCGGGAAAATATCACTTTTCGCAACCAAAGTGTTTTGGCGACAAAATAAATTAGTTGCGGTAATTAACTATTTAGCGACCAAAAATTTAGTCGCGAAATCCAACTTTTGCCGACCAACCACAATTTTGATCGCGAATTAGTTTTGCCGACCCTCAATTGGCGACCAATGTAGCGACCAAAAAAATTGGTCGCGGATAACTTTTGCCGACCAAAAATTAACTTTTAGCGACCAATTTTTTTGTTGCCAAAAGTGTTAATTCTTGTAGTGGGACTGATATTTTCCACCAAGGCCAAGCTCCCTTTATCTACCATTGTCACCACCACAGGTTCGGGTTAAAGTGTAGACATGTTCATCATGCACAAGTCTGTGCTCTTAGGGATGAACAACACCAGTTTAGGTAGGTGGAAAGGGGTGATATATATACTGGGGTCATAAGGGACAGCCAGTGTGTGGATGAGGTTTATATGCCGGGGTGGAGGGACTTGGTTATGTGGTGAGAGAGGATTTGTAGTGACATTGGGTTTTTTGGGAGGTGCTATCACCTTATTGTCGATGAGATCTTAAATCTCATGACGCAGCCTATCACATTGATCAGTGTTATGACCGTGCTGCTGTTGAAAAACACAGTATTTGGCCAGGTTTTGTTTCGGAGGGAGAGGATCAGGTAGAGGGCAAGGCTCTAGTGGCTTAAGATGCCCCTTTTTGATCAGGACCCCTAGGGCTTTGGATAAAGACATGTAGAGCGGGGTAAAGATCCTTTGAGATCAGGCCTGGCTGGTTGAGGTTTCTGGAGTTGTGTTGGATGTATTAGCAAAAGGGCTGGCAGTTTTGGGTGTGGTGGTGACCATACTCATATTTGAAGGCCATGCAGAGGTGCTACTAGTTGTGGTTGCATTGGAACTGCATGTAAAGGGACTCTTGTGTTGTTCCTTCTGATCAACTATCAGCCCCTATTTCATCGCATCTTCGATTTGAACCCCTATCTCGTGGAGCATAGTGAATGTAAACAATGGCATGACTATCATCTTCTATAATAATCTCCCTTGCAGGTTGTGGACCACCATTCTGATTTGATCCTTCTCGGATGGCCTGATAGTCATCATCGAGGCCTTAGTCCTCCATTGAGTGACAAAGTCCGACAAGCCTTCCTTTGGCTCCTGGCGGGTCGCTTCAAGATCACGGGTTGTGACCTCGATCTGGGTATTGTAGGAGTACTGTATGATGAAGGCCTCAGCCATTTCCTCCTAACTTTGTTTCACATAGTCTTCTAATTTTACATACCAGATGGCCGTTATACCCGATAGGGTCCAACCAAAAAGCGACAGCTTCTGAAGTCTAGTAAGACCCATTGGTCACAGGATACCAGAGAATAACCGCAAATGCCCATAGGATCCCCAGAGCCGTCGAATCGGTCTATATGCGGCATCTTGAATCTATCCGGTAGAGTTACTACAGAGTCTGTGTATCCATCTTCAATGTCAGGGATTGAATTCATGCCCTGTGCCTGTTTAAAAAGCTTTTCTAGCTTGTTGACTTTCAATGCAGTGGTGTCGACCTTGAATTCAAATGGCGCCTCCGTTTGGTACACTGGTGCCTTGGAGGTCTGATATGGGATCGGATCTACCGGAATGCCTGGATTCTTTTGGACATTGACAGTGACTCCGGGTGCTAGAATACCTGTTGGAGGTGCAAGGGAAGCAGAAGCCGCTACTTACGGTGGCTGCTGTTGCTGGAGCCTATTTATTACCTCTGCTTGGCGGGCTATAACCTCAGCTTGGCGGACAGCATCTAGCTGCATGGTTTCTATGGTCTGCTGGAGATGACGAAGCATGTCTTCCATGCTAACCAAGGGATGTTAAGCCATCAGATCTGGTAAATACTCTCTCACTGGAGTGGAAGTAGAAGACTGAGCATGACTAGGTGCAGGTGAAGTAAAAGGTGACTGCTGGACTAGTGAATTATGCCTAACCCTCCTTCGTCTGGTAACCGGTGGGAGTGAAACAAACATTGGCTGTCCCCTGACAAGATCTCCAGATCTGTAAAGTCGCCTCACACAGGTCCAGAGTGCTTGGGGGGTAATAGAATCGTCCAAAGCAATGGTGAAAAACCACCTTGCAAAAAGAAATAAAGCAAAAGAAAACAAAATTCAGAAACCGCACAGCACCTCGGCTTAGAAACTAACAACACGTTGTTGTAACCAAAAGCTGTAGAACTGTACTCGACACTGATTTCTACCCCCAAAACTAATACCTACACTTGTAACTAATACATACATTCTTGTAGAGTTTCACTCTAAAAGCACATACCAGTTAAGTGAGAACCAAAACGCCTCTATGAGGGGGTAGGGTTACCTTGTCCTAGTTTCGTCAGGAACTAGGGTTAACTATTCAAGCAAAGTGTTTCACACAATCCTCCATTTGGGTAAGCAACTTGTCCTGGTTTGGAACAGTCTCTATGGTTTTCGATATGCAACTAGGTCGATTGATCAAAAAGGGTGCCTGTAGACGTCCCCGAACGCCCCAGGAGGGAGAACCGCCGTTCTGTTCATTTGTGGGTCTACTACAGTTCAGGACTCTCAAATTGTCACGGTTCTTAATCTGAACCAAAGAGTCCGAATCTGGCAAATCGTTTTGAGAAAAACAGATTTTTAGAAAAGAAGTGCCAAACATGGACTGCTTTGCCAGATACAGAGTCACCACCTAAATATTTTATTTTGGAAAATTTAGGAAACCCTAACTCGGTGCCAAAGGCCACGTGTCCGTCATCACCAAAGTTGCCTCGGCTCGAGAACTTGGGTACGATTGGGGAAGGTCAGCTATGAGCACCCCATCTCGCCCGATCAAAGATCGGCCTCTACTAACCGTGATATCTTGTTTTGAAAGCATTGTGTGTTCCTATTCTGGTTATTAGCCTAGAATTACTATGTTATGCACACAGCAAACAAGTATAGACTAGATCGCCTAATTTGGAACAAAGCATCGCGTATCCGTTTGTTTGGAAAATGTTTTGAAATTTGCTACTCGCGAGTAGGCTAAAACACGGATTTTGATGAGTTGTTCCAACTCAAGCAATCCAACCTTCACCCACAGGCATTCAGGTAGTTATATCACATAAGCATCTTGCCACATGGTAAGCATGCTGTCATGGCAACATTCATACACATGTAGCATGCTAAAGCATAAAAAGCTTACCTAGTACTCCAAGCCAAAACAAAAACTAGTTAGTAATCATATGCATGATCCTAGTTCGTGTTTAAAAATGGCTAATGCAATGCATGCAAAGATGCAATCTAGACAGGCTCGACTATTCTAAACATGGTATGTGAAATGCAACAGATAACATGTATTCAATTTGGGATTGAAATACAATGCAGTTAGCATGATGCGCCGAGCCCGGTGCATGCAAGACAAATGTAAGAATACACGCATGCATAGCATAAGGTATGCTAATTTAAATATGCCCTAATACTAACCATTGAAAGCAGGTAAATAAAAGGGAAAAAAGACGCGGGGTTGGAAGACATACACACACACTCACGCACACTTATTACACAATTGCCCTCGCTCGGAGGGTCCGAATAGATATTACACAACCAAATGAATACTACTAAATTAATTATTACAGAACTTCTAATTAATTAACAAATGAAATGCAAAAGAAAGGTGGCCGCAGCCCTGCCTCGGGATACGTGAATGATGCATGCTCGATCCGCCTTGCCCGGAAACCCATACCATGCCACTGTTGCCTCTATTTACACTGCCTCACCCCTCTGAAATTATGAAGGTCTCCAGAACTGTTATGAGCTTCCTTTTGAGTTCTGTGGAATGCCACCGGCCAGAGAAAAAGGCCACTGGCCATAGGAATAAGGTTATCAGCCAAAGATGGTGTCATCGGCTGGGGGCTGATAACCAGTCGGCACTAAAGATGGCCGGTCGGCCATTGCTTCCGGTAGAATCCTGCAATTGACAGCAGCAGAGGGCAAGCAGTGTATGGCATGGAATTTTCAAGCAAATGTGTGCATGGCCACTCTCCCTATCATGCTAAGGACTTAAGGGAGTGCGGCTCTTGGTACTCGGGCCACCAGTCACGCATTTCGATGCATGATGGCCAAAGGTACCAAGTTTGCAACTTAATGTAAATGCATGCTACAAACAAATGAATGCTAACACCCTATCATGTTGAGATCAAGGGCGTCGGCGACCGAGGATTGAGACGTGTTTCGTCACTTTAAGTACGAACACTCCTCAATTCTCATGCTTGGTTTGACACCCCAAACCAAGCAAAATGTAATGCAAGTATGCAATGTACCTCACATATGCAACATGGGTCAAATATGCAATGTGAAGCTAAGTAAGCAAGGCGTGCCAAATGCAATGCAAACTAAACATGCCGATGTGTAATGTACTAAAGCATGCAACATGCAACATGCAATGTAGTAAACATGGACAAATATGCAATGGGACTAGCATGTGGCAACACATAATGAGCCAAATATGCAACAAACATATGACAAACATGTAATGGTGGACTTAAACCATAAAGGACAGACCTCAGCCTTGCCATAAACAGTGGCCAAAAGTGCCAAAAATGGTGGACAAGTGCTCATGCAAACA